GAAAAAGGAATGAGATTAAGAGCAAGAATCAGAGAGTGGGAAGAAGGGGAAAGAATGACGAAGTATTTCTTTCAAAAAAATAGAGCAAGAGGAAGGAACTCCGCCATCCATCAACTTAGAGGAGAAGAGGGGCTTACTTCGGACCCAAAAAAGATGTCGTCAATAGCAGAAACCTTTTATAAAAACCTCTACACCTCCAAAACGGAACAACCCACTCCAGGACCAGTGTTACGAGCAAGAGAAAAGTTTTCCAAACACTTGGCGAAAACAATTCCCACGACACTAGCAGAAGAACTAGATGCTCCAGTTACAAATGAGGAAAATTAAAAGAGCCTTGGACTCGATGAAAGCTGGGAAAACCCTTGGTGAAGATGGATTGTCCAAAGAATTCTGGCAAAAGTAATGGGAACTCCTAGGAGAAGAGTACAGTAAGTTCATAAGTGACGCATGGTCTTCAGAGGGCCTAGGGAAATTTTTGAGTACCGGGATAGTCACCCTGCTATACAAGAAAGGAGATCCCACAGACACTAGGAACTACCGACCTATCACCCTACTAACAGTAACATACAAGATTCTAGCTAAATTGCTAGCAAACAGAATCAGGAAGATCACCAAAAACTGCTTCCACATAGACCAAACAGGCTTCATCCCAAGTAGATTCATATTAGACAACGTAATGACTCTAGCAGAATCAGTAAGATATATTAAGAATAAAAGACTGAATGCCGCAATCCTCTTCTTCGACTTTGAGAAAGCCTGTGATCAAGTCAATTGGGAATTCCTTCAGCAATGTATGGAAAAAATGGGAGTGGGTCCAAATTTCAGAAAACTCGTGGTCTGTCTGTGAACAGTACGAACAGATCCAAATGCATTGTGCTTGCCGTGTATTTGGAGTGAGGCCCCTGCGCCTGGGTTGCTTCATGATCCAGATACAGAGCTCAACCAATCATTCTGAATGCATCTGACGATATTCAGATCCAGATTCCAGGTACATTGTGATCAGTGTACTGGAGTCAGGCCCATCATCTCACATCTTCCACAAAAAAAAAAGAAATGGAAACAAAAAAGTTGAAAAAACTGTATGCTGAGTATTCAGGAATAGGGAGACCGAGTACACGAGTGTCTCATGTTCGCGCCACGAGGCGGGTTCGCCCTAGCGGCATTGCCGAAACCGGTTTCCTGTCCGTCCGCCAGCCCCCCACCACGTGATTTCGCCCGCACGAATCCGCCCGCGCGAACCCGCCCGCGCGAACTCGACCCCTCAAACTTCGGACCAGGAAGCAAACTCTGCCATCTCCCCACGCATGGCAAGCAGCTTCTCCCTTACAATGTGCCCCGCGCCCGCCGTCTCCACGTCGGAGCCCCACTGGGCAGCAAGCCCCTGCAACCAGCTTGTAAGGGAGAATCAGCCCCACCATCGCCCGCGCCATCTCCAGCCTCCGGCTCGACACCCAGAGTCCCATCTTCATAGGATAGTTCAGCTCACAGCGGCGACAATTGTCATGTTGTCCTCGTCGCCTGCAAGCCCCCAGGAGTCCCCCAGGAGATCTTCAGGAGGCGACTTCCACCCTACAATCAAGCCAGTCACTGAGGAACAGTGAACCGCCACACGACTTACACAAGGTACGAATCAAAAGAAGCAGGTACTGATCCTAGCGGCTCTGCTTTCTCACTAATCCAAGCTGATCAGGGCGGAGTACTCGTCGCCGCCCTCTTACTCGATCTCGTGCAAATTTCAACCCTACTCCTTCCTCTCACTCCCAAACCAAGATCCAAACTCCACGTCCGCCTAACTTTTCCTCCTTCCTCCCAACCCGCCCGGCTAATCCTTCCTAACACCCCCGTTGCTCTGCCCACCCATTAATGACATTGCCTCCTCCACGTAGTCCACCTCAATCCTCCCCCACGACACAGCTCCTTCCACGCATGCACATCTAACCCACCTACACTGACCTTCGTCATACCCCCCCTCCCCACCCTAGCTGCTTCGAATTTCCTCCCCCCCGAGTATCTCCCACCAAGGCCGACCTTCCTCCCCATCTCAAGCCCACACCCAGAGGCCACAGCCCCCCCGCTCTTCCGCAGACGTGTCCCAACACACACACACAGACACGTACGGCACACACCCCCAACGACCCCGTCTCCCCCACATTATTTACCATCCCATCCCACGGGACATAGCTCACCCACTCGAACACATCCGGCCCACGTGGACTATACTCCCCCTCACACACTCCCCTACCCCCCGACATTCCCAACCTTGCCGCTCTCAGCCTACCCCACAAAGGCTGATCCGCTCTCCCATCACAAGACCCAACAATCACAACCCTACCAACCAACAGTCGAACATATCAAGGGCCACTCTTCAAAGGTCACGTCCATGCTTGTATGGTACGCTGATTGGTTTCGAACAGCTGGCCCTTACATTTTCGACGACACCTCCTCTTGCATGAACAGTATGACAAAAGAATCCGATCGGATTCAGGTTTTTTTTGTTTCGCTTCCCTGACTTCACCTGCTCACATATCCAAAACTCGTTCCACGAAGGTAAGTAATCGGATTTTGATATTGAATCGGGTAGTCCCAAGATTAAAACTTAAAAGAATGCACGCGAAAACATAGATTAGGGAGGGAAAAAAACAAACGAACAACCTGCACCAAAAGAGAAATATAGAAACCACCTCAGTTTACCCAATCCAAAAAACAGAAAAGCATAACCACATCAAATAGGCCAGCACTGAGTGAACACGGACATGGCTCAAACCTACAATCGCGCTACAGCACGGTAGCAGCAACAAAAACAGCCACCTCAAAGGACCCCTCCCAGACCGCATCCAATGTGGATCATGAGATACTTCGATTCCTGGTGGAAGCCCCAAAAATTAAAGGAGAGAAAGTCACAATTAAAGTCAGGAACGTTAAGGACAACACCGACGAGGAAGTGACCGCTTGGGCGTAACCAAAGGACAAGATCGCCAACACCAACGCGACGTACGAGAAGCATGCACTCATCTTCTCCTTTTCCAATGCCGGGGCAAGACTATCCCCCATTGAGAAAAGAAAATGGATGGTGAAAACCATCTAGGAAACAGATGTCGACAAATTTTCCCTGCTTGGTCTGGGTAGGACCATGATGATCGTGGTCTTCAAAGACGCAGGTCGAGCAACACATCTGCTGGAGAAATGCGATACCCTGAATTGCAATGGCTCTGTCTGCACCCTGTCATGCTGGACGCCGGAGACAGCCCAGCGAGCTGAAGTCTCACCGGCTGCCTCCTACAAACAGCGACTGATGAGGGAGCAGTTCTGGGTACAGTTTGACAACATTCCCCCCAGAGGCCATCCCTTAATTAAGGATCGATTGGAAGTCAAATATCCCGCAAACAACGTGTTAAAGTGGGTCCTCCCCACGTCTGACTTCCTGCCCCCACACTACGATTCCATAACAGCAATCCTGGAGGTACTGACCAATAACCCCCCGATGTTCCCTGAGGAGTGGCAATGTCTCATCGGAGACGAAGTCACAAAAGTGACAGTTTCTACCAAAGCACAAGCCTCGCCAATCAGGTGTAGAGAAAGAGGTCAAATGGGAATTGATCCCAAATGCCCGCACTCCCCTGAGCAGAAAAATCTGAGACAGAACATGCTAGTTGAAGTTGAAGAGGCCGAAGGAATCTGGTTCGTGAATGACTCAGACTACGATGGCTGGGTCTTTGATGACAACATCCCAGAACCTAAGTGGATATGGACATACACAAACACAATTCCGACAATCAAACAGCCAGACATCTTTCCCCCATCAGACACCAAGTGGCACCATGTTGGAGCAAAAAAGATAACAGGAATCCCAGGAAAAATCTACTCAGACCCGGTGATTGATTCCCGGGCGATCAAAGAAGAGAAAAAGCACGAAGATCTGATGTGGGCATAGGTGATTGATTCCTGGGCGATCAATCCGACAGCAAACTGCAGACTCCCTCTCTAATCGGGAGGATGGCGACAATGTCCTGGACGCAGCCAAACAGACCGTTGAGGGACACAGCCCACAGACTGACCCCTCCCTCAAGAGACAGGCCTCCCCCCAAAAGGAGATCAACAAGACACCAAGCGGAAAGGAAAGAGGTGGTACCAGGCCCAGTCATGAGTTTATGTCAAGCAAAGAACCCCAGGAAGGAATGAGCAGGAGAGAAGGAAGACTCAGAAACACAACTGGAAGCCGATCCTCCTACTTCTATAGTTGTGCATAGGTCTATCTGACAGGCCCTGGGTGGAGCCTGAGAGAAACAAGTGGGCATGGCAAGCTGACAGTCAATCCTCCTCCAGGGGAGTAATCAATGCTGGTTAGGGGCCTTCGGCCATACGGAAGGAAGCGTATGTGTGTATTATGTTGTATTCAATTTCGACTTGCCGGGGGAAGAGGAACCGGACTGATGCTCCCCAGACGGAAAGGAGCCTGGACCTTAAGGGTTTGTTTTATCGAAAAAAAAAGAAAAAAAAAAAGGAATAGGGATACCGAGCAAAGGATAGACATGGCTAACCAACTGTATTCACAAGTCAGGAATTGAAAACAACCAAAGAAAAAAGTTCAATAAGTTGAAAAAACGTGCATGGCCACCCAACTATAGTCAAGCATAGAGAGAAGAAAACGACAGAAAGAAACACACAGCCAGACAGCTCTTTCATCGATCCGGGAAACCAAAAAAAAAACAAAAAAAAAATGGCCCTGAGCACACAACGACCAACGAAAAACACACAACCTGGGCCCCAGGCGTGTAACAAGTTTTGTAGGACATGCACGACCCGCTCAAGTCTTCAAGAAGTTACAGAAGTTGACCATTCCCATAACCATGGAGCCCAGTTAACCGACACGGCTATGCCTGTGTACCATTCTCAAGCATGTGATTTATATTTACATCTCCAAATTTCAATGACTTTCGCGGGGGAAGTTTCGCCCTGTGTACTTGTGGTTTTTCATTTGCGGATAACGGGTCTCTTTGCAGGCGTGCACGCATAGTGGAGGAAGTGGCCATGAAGATGCATGAGAAGGTCAATGAAGTTGGAGTTCCACTTTCTGGGGGAAGGAGCTACAGAAATAATGAGGGAGCAAGGTTACAGGCTCAGCTTGCTAGCGCTGCAGACCCCGAGAGCTTCCTGGAAGGAATGACAGCCGAGCAGCGTAGGGCTCTTCAGGTTTTCTCGGCCCAACGACAGGTGCTCAATCCTTTACTGTAAACCTCACGTCCCCGTACTCATCGGGATTGTAGGAGTCATTATTAGGTGATGAACTTCATCAAATAAGAACTTGTTTGTCAACTTTATCTCCATCTTAAAAAAAAAGAAAAAAAAAAAAAAGAAAAAGAAACATGATTTCATTATATGAGCAAAAGGAGGCCGCGTGTTGCATACCGTTACAGTACAGACCAGAACAAGAACCGACCTCTCTCACATAGTACAGGATAGCGCAGCGGAAGGCTAAAATACCAATGATCACCAATCAATGTCACAGTGCAGACCAAACATACATCATCATCATCGCAAGGTGTGAAGGGACCTGGCGCTCACACCGGAAGAATGTGCCAGTCCCAACCATACACAGACGAGGAGGAGGGGAATCAGACGAAGGAGAGGGGGAAGATGGGAATGTCGTCAACACCAAGTCTTCAATATAGACCCCTAATAATCCCTCGTCCAATGTCTCGGTCCCAATGTCGAGTCTGAATCCAAATGTCGTCAGGCTCGCCAGAGTTCAGATGCAAGAGGCGAATAACGGGAGTTGCATCCTCCTCTCCTGGAAGTCGAAAAGGCAACCAGTGTTTTCAAATTAACAATCTGACACTTTGACCTATTAAGTTTATTCGCCGTGGTCCCGACTAGCTCGAACCGACAAAGTGTTTTAGTCTGTCGTGTTTACCAAAATGTCAAAGTCTCAAATCTCTCTCTGTCGTAGTCTGCAGATACCGAGAAGTCAGTAGCGAGAGGGTGAGGGAGAGATGGTGGACTTAGAGGAGAGAAGAAGAACTCTCTCTCTCTTTGGTGCCAAGTACTGACCTGTGAAGGTGGCGCCTTGTTGCAGGTACATCAAAGACGAAGCTGGAGCTATGGCGCCACAGGTAAGTCTCCCTGGCCTCCGCCCTCTCTCTCTCTCTCTCTCTCTCTCTCTCTCTCTCT